GATGAAGCTGAACATATAAGTTGAGACCAGATTATAGAGGGCTTTGAATGACATATTAAAGGTTGAGACATTATCCAATAGAAAAGGTGGCTACTAAGAGCTTTGGAGCAGAGAAAAAATAAGTTTTGTCTGTGCTTTGGGAAGATAATTGACATGCTAGACAAAATTTCCTGACAGCGGGGTCTGTTTCTTACTTATCAGCACATCCTTTACTCTTCTTTATACCAATGAAAAGAAAAAGGAATGGCTGGATGGGAGGATGGGAGTGGGAATCAGAACACAGCGGGGAGACCATGATGCGCTGGAAGAAAATGTCACAGAGTTACTACAGACACAGTGACTGGCTGAGTGTCAGAGCGGAGGAAGATGGGGGAGACTTGAAAAGAACCCTGAGGCAGCTGGCTTGGATGACAGCTCAGGGTGGGTGGCCGGGTGGTTGCCATTAACAGAAATAGAAAACACAGAGTGAGAAACCAGTTTTGAAAATTAGAGGAAACAACAAGTCTGATTTTAGTTCAGTGAATTTGGAATTGAGGTGGAAATGTCCAACAGGCAAATGAAAACACAGGTCTGGGTTGAGCAGAGGTCAAAACTAATGACAAAGATTTGTTTGTGGAGTCATATCCATAAAGGTGTTAGCTGAAGTCTTGGGGGCAGATGAAATGATCCTTGGAGAATGTTGATCAAGACTGGCCAGTTATAGGAGCATGGAGAATACTAACATTACCGGATGGCTGTAGGACAGGAATCACAAAAAGGTAGTAGGAAAAATGGGCACAGATATACCACGAAAGGGCAATGTCATGGAGCCTAAAAAGAGAAGGGCCCAGGAGAAGGGACAAGTACAATGAAGTCTGGAAGGCACTGGTAGGTTTGCCTGGAGGAGATCACCTGTGAGCTCTTTGAGAGCCGTTGCCACTGGGGAACACTGGAGCTGATTATAGTGATAGGTCAAGTAGAGGCTGGGCTGTTGGAGACAAAAGTGCTTCCTCTTTTATCCTCAACTATCTCTTGTTAGTCTCTTTAGAAGACTCTTCTCTCTGCTGTCCCAGTAAATGCTGATGTTACCTAGGACTCTGTCCTTGGCTCTATGCTTATAACAGTTAGGGTTCTCTTGGTTTCAAATAACAGAAAACAACTCCAGCTGGCTTGAGCAGAAAGATTTATTGGAAGGATACAGGGTTACCTCATAGGACCCAAAGTGTTATGACTGGGCTTTGCACACAAGCTTTAACCAGAAAGCAAGTACCATAGGGTTTCTCCAGCTTCATTCTTGTCCTCCTCTAGCTATTTCACTTTCTGCTCTCATTGCAAACCAGCTGCCTCGGTTTTCCAGGCCATGTGGTGGAAAACATGTCTGCATTTGCTCCTGAGTCATAACCACCCACTCAGCCACTCAGAGGAGCACTGCTATGTCTCACTCACTCTTCTTCTTGATGTCTCCCAAGGGAAGGGATGGAGTTGATCAACTTGCATGGATGCCCACCCTTGGGCCATTCAACTGAGGGTAGAACAACAAGGTCACACTATACAGACAGCATCATGTGGTTTGGGGATGAGGGTAGGGACTGGGACCTGGAAGTGAGAAGCTGAAGGGAAAACTTACAGGATGAGGATCTGGATTGGGCCTAGGGGAAGTGATGAGGAGAGAGTGGCATGAGCAGCTTCTCACCTCCCCTTTCTTTTTTGATCTTTGCTCTGAGAGCGTGGACCTTCCTAAGCAGCAAATCCTAGGTGTGCTCTCCATCCAAACTAGGTGCAATTTCTTCCAAGAAAGTGGAATGGCTGCCTGGCTTTTGTCAACTTCCACTCCCTGTGACCAGCCCTCAGTACACTTGGAGTGTCCAGTGGCCATGTCTATACCCTCTAGATGAACCAGAGTTGACTGATCCAGAGGCCAACCAGAGCCTCTTTCTGGGGTCTTTGGACTTGGAACTGGACAGATCATGGGCCAACTCCTTTTTGGAACCAAGTGAGGCTGATGGTTCATATGGCACAGAGGCGGGGTCTGGAGGTACTTGCACTGCTAGTTATCTTGAAACTCAGCTGCACCACTGCCCTCCTTATGTTAGATTCCGTAAGCTAGCCCAGTATTTTCTAGTAAGTTCCCTTTGCATCTAAGCTCGTTTGGGTAGATTTCTGTCATTGAGACCGAAAAAAGCCTGGACTAATCCAGGGTCAAGGGAGTTGCCCGATAGCTATTCCCAGCCTGGCCTCTTGCCTCCCACATCAACTGGAGAAAGTGAATCCTCTCTTTCTCTTGTCATGTTTCCCGGGAGAAATAATGTCCAAATGGTGACTGCAGTTCAAGGTTTTGGCATTCTGGCAATTTCTGAAATACTGGCACTTTCTTGGTGGCTTACTCTGATTTCGATATTTAAAAAAATCTAAAATCAGTATCACTTATATAATGAGATGAAGACCAATGACTCAACTATTTAAGTTCTGATGAAAACACTTCCTGCACAAAACTCTACCCAAAGTCAGAAAGGGCTTTCCATCAGCTGGAACAATTTGTACTAAAACACACATGATACTCAAGGATACCTTGGATCCACTTTGCTTTTGAAACAATATTCATTTGTACTTCTCAATGATTTTCAAAGTTTTCTTCGTTTTTGATAATGTTTAGTTTGCTGATCTTTGAATAAGATTTTTAAAACAGTCTTTTTATTTTGGAATAGCTTTAGATTTGCAAAAAATTGTGAAGATACTACTACTTATTGTTAACTAAAGTCCATTCTTTATTAGTCCTTACCTCATGTTCTTTTTTCTATTCCAAGAACATCAAATTATATTGTTTTGTCTCCTGAGGCTCCTTTGGTTTATAATAAGTTTAAGACCTTGTTTTTATCTGCCAATAATTTGTGTTCAAGTGATGCTTGTTTAATGTTTCTATTGTACAAATGTCTATTTTTACTTGATCTTTAAATGTTTACTACTTTTAAAATTTGAATTAGATGTTTTCCTAGTGTTAACGTTACGATTTCTGAACACTTAGAGCTAAAATATTGGCACTGATACTAGCATTTATGTAAAATGCGTGCTGAGGGTCCCGTGTCACAGTTTCTGTTCCGGCACAGCAATTACCAGATCCCCCGGACCGACGAGCAAAAGATGGAGAATGTGAACGCAGACGGCTCAGGCTCTTGGTGCAGGCGGGGCTCCCCACAGCCAGGAAGCGTGCAGCAGAGGACACAGCAGAGTAGCCACACGAACCCCAGGCCCAAGCCATCTGAAAGGGCTCCGCAAATAAGTCTTTTGCCCCCAGTATCCTTCCTTACTGCACGCTGTTCTTCCTGTGTATACAGCTGGACAAGACTTACTTGTGTCAGCCCAATCTGGTTTTTTTTTAATCGCGTACAGCGAGTGCCCTAGGGCCATTTTTCAATGATGATTTTGACACTGGGTCCATTATCTTAGAGAAATCTTAAGTCCTTGTTTTTCCAATGCTTTTTTGATCATTGCTTGGAACATCGTTAAGCACTCAGTACACACAGGTGCTATTATTTGTTCAAAACAAGTTGAATGCAAGAAGGAAATTGGTACCATTGGCAGGAAAAAGTGACTTCTCTCCAGGCATTAGGAACCAACGAGAATCAGGGAGCGAGCAGGTGGGGTGGTGAGGACTAGTGAGTGGAGCGCCCCAGCCCACAGTGTGGGTGGGTGTGGTGGGTTGAGAGTGAAGAGGAGGGGTGGGGACCTGCCCTAGTGGCCGAGCCAGCAGCAGCCTCGCTCAGGGCTGCTAGGCCCATGGAAGACTACCTGTAATGACCACCTACCTCTAGGATTCTGCGATGCAAGTAATATCAGCATCTGAAAACCACAATGGAGAGTTTAATCACAAGTATGCAGCATAATTACATCACTAACGGAGCAGCGTTTGACATTTAAATATACATTACAATCTATTTCTCTCCCCAGAAGTTGCCAAAAGCAGTTCACAATAGTTAGGCTTCATTTTGTCCATAGTTCATGGCATATTCAAAGTCTTTAAAGCTGACAAGACCGTCTGAGTCTTGATCTACTTCCCTGGAAAATGAAACAAAAAATTTAGTTATTTACAGGTTATTTTTGTCACACTTCTGCATCAAGAGCACTCCACAATCTTTATTTCTTTGCAGGTCTATGAGTGAGAGGCACCTACTTGAAGGCAAATTTGATGCCTATTTTTTTCTTATACTGATAATGCCTATGGTGGGAAGGAAAGGAAAAGGTATTTATTAAAACCTACAAAAATAATATATTCAATACATTTAAAGGGATGAAGCCAAATGCACAGGTTTTTTTTTTAAAAAAGCAGAAATGACGGTTTTTCTTGTCATCCTGCACATTCTTTCTGTGATGTATCAACAAATATATATGCAATACACAACAGAAATGTGTAATAAACCAACGAGAGATAAGAAAAATGTTTGGGGAATAAATAGCAATGATGGGAACAATGATTGACACCTGCACCGAGCTGCCTTGGCATTCCTCGTCTCATCGAATCTCAGCATGGTGCTGGGATGGGTCCACTTTACAGACAGAGACACTGAGCTGAAAGTGGTCCACCAACTTCACAAGATCACACTGCTGCTAAGTGGGCAGACTTGGAACGCAAATCGAGACCATGATATTCCCAAACCAACGCTCTCTAAGTACTCTACTGCATGTTGCCTCCCTACGTAAATAGACTAGTCCAAGGAGAAGGGGTTGTATTGCAATTTCACGTGGCTAACTCTAGCTCCAGAAGTCTTCACTGGCCTCGGAAGTTGTGTTAAATCCTCACAAACATCTGATCAGCTTTTCGGACTCCTAGGAAGAGCGGTGAAGATGGGAGCCTCTGGCTGGTTGGCTGAGGCTGTGGGTGGCCTCAGTTGGGTTGGCCGTGTGTGTCCTGAGAACCACTGAGACAGGAGCATTGCTCCCTCAACAGGGACAGAGAAATCGCGCCCCCTCCACATGGGTAAGATAACACATGTCAGAAGGACAAAAATCACAGCATTAGAAACACATTTCAACCATGACCAGGAAAGGTAACGTTTATTTCAGAAGTGTGTTTGAAAGGGTAACTGATGAGCAGTGGTCACAATTCCTCTTTGGGGGGCCTTCTAAAACAATGCATTACATTCCTTATGTAGAGCTCTTGTGGTTGATGCAAATTACATTTTGTTGAAACAACAAATGGTATCAACCATGACACAGGGCTTTTGAAAGCAAAGACTGGCCCAAGTAACAGAGCCACTAATCACTGTAATAGTTTTAAAGCAGGCTTTTAAAATATTGAATTCTAAAATAAACTTTCTGAATATTTCATGCCAAAGTCTCCGAAGTCTATAATGGTTCTGGATAGTGATGGTAATTTTTCATTCTTTTGAAGTAGAGAAAATCCCTACTTCTCTGCCCCAGGGCGAAACCATGTTGCAGTGTGTTCGTAGAAAATGACTGTAGACTACAGAGGCCATTATTCTTGCTACTTCTTTTGGTAAAATATACATGATGATTTCATGCTATACAGGACCAAAAGCAGAATGTCAGATCTCTTCTAAGGGATTAGAAATAATCAGTATCACATGTTACTGACTACGGAATATAAACCTTCCCTTTTATTAAATTAGATAATTGAAGATTCTTAATATTGCCTACGTGTTTTTTCTGAAGGAAATGGATTAGATAAGTGGCCTTTTTTTCTTTCCACTCTGAACTGGTATGGTTGAACTACAAATCCCAGAGGGTGGGTTAAAGAGGATAACTAGAAAAGTAATGTTTAGAATAAACTGCTTCCGAGAATATTTTCTCAGTGTGTTTGTTCACTTACTGAGATGCTGAATGTTTGTGGAAAAGGGAATCCCTTTTTCTCAGTAAATAACCTTCATTGTAATTGCATTCACTTACTTTTCTTGCTGTCTTTGCCAAAACTTCCCATCATAAAATGGGCACGGTATAACCAAGAATCGTTAAAATGGAAACATTTATTCATAAGGTTTGTAGTGGCATTTTATTCATATAGTGAATGGAGGAACATCGTGTTTATATTTAGAATGAGACGGGGTAAAATACTTTCTATCTTCTGACTTTTCCTCCTCATTATTGTGTGTGTGTGTGAGAGAGAGAGTGAGAGAGAGAGAGAGAGAGAGCGTGGTCTGGTCGTCTCAAGGAGGGTGAAGAGGAAATTCACATTTCAGAGCTATAATTTTAAAAGCTGAAATATATTGTTTTTCATTGCGGGCGGAGTTGCCTTGAAGAAGGAAGGTTTCACAGCACCCACGCTTGAACAGCAGAGTGGTGGAAGAGCAGATGCGGCTGGTGGCTAGACGCAGTCTGTGCGGAGATGAAGACACGTCTTTAGGGACCAAGTCTCATTGTTCCCGTTTACTGCATTCCACGTCAACAGGAGTTCGCTCCGGTTCTGAAAGGAGGGCATGCTGTTCTGGTGTGACCAACACACACTGAGCACAAAATACTCCACCGCCTCTCACCCCAACTAGAAATGAATTCAAGGAGGGTGAGAACTTTCTCCTGTTTCTGGCTGTGTCCCCACCTCTCAGCCCATAGCAGACGACAAATGTTTGCAGAGTGCATGAATTTGTGGAATCAACGAATCGGAGAAACAGCTGACAACATTATGGAATATCTACCAACTCCCAGGAAGGGTTGGGGGTCGAAGAAAGAGAGTATATCATCACTGCTTTTACGGAGTCTGGAAACCAGCCAGAGAAATAATATGCACTGAAGAAGGCCCCTAGGAACCATCGCCCGGGGACCCATAAGGAATAGTCAATTATGGTCTCCACACCCAATCGCATTTTGCAAACACAGACTAGGTGCAAGAGAGACCAAGTGAGAGAGAGGTGAGCTCTGGCAAATGAGGCTACAGAGCAGAACACGGATGGAAGGAACCACTTGAGTGTCGGGCTGAACAACACAGAGATAAATACAGAGCAGGAAATTGGAAACTGAGGCAGACGCTAGACACATCTGAGTCTAACCTGCCCTGTAGCCGAAGCCCGAGCGCTCCGACCCAGCTAAGTAGCAGCTCTTCCGCCAGACACGTGGATATAGATACAGACAAGTATAAAGGCATCTATTTCAGAACCGGCTTTTCAAAGGAGTTAACAAAGCTCATATAGATGTAATGAGAGGAAAATAAATGCCGTTAACAACAGTAACCGCTGTCTAGAAATGTAGGTCCAGCTAAATTGAAGCCTTCCTGGTTTGCTTGTTTTTGAGATGCAAAAGGCAGACGTGGGACTGATTTGTGGAGCAGAGACTCAGCAGAGCTGAGCTGCTCTGTGTAACTCGGCACGAACAATTTAGGATCCTCGGGTGGAAGGGGATGACAAGCCAGATAAGAGAGACAATAGGAAGAAGGGGCCACGGAGAAGCAGGAGGTGGGGATACTCCATGAAGGGAAGTGGCCCCTGAGAAAGTCTGCAGGGTTGTGGTGATCAGAAGTCCTTTAATTAACGCTTATGTTTACCTTGTGTTTCAAAGGTGTCTGTGTTACTCGTTATAACCTCCCGTATCTTCACCAAGGGGTGCAACAGGCACACACTCCACTGGGGATGGTGTGTGTGTATGTGTGTGTGTTGGGGGGGTGGTTCTGTGTTGACTTCGAAGCTTAAGTCTGGGTTAGGAGAGGAGTTTCACCTGAGCAGGTGCACGAGCCAGTAAGAACAGTGGGGAAGGGTTCGACGATCCATCAGCCGAATTAATGCAGAGAAATGCGAACTCAGAGTCATGGGCCTCCCAGAAATTGTAAAAAAGCTCCAGAAGTGCTTTAAAATCCTGCAGGGTGTGCAATGGGGCTTCCAGGCAACACTGTTTTAATTGTGATGCACAGGAACACCCAGGCTGACACTGGGACACATTGAGAATTTCAGGCAAGACCAGACTGTGTCCACTTAGCTAGGTTCTGACAGTTTTCTGTTAAAATATAAACATTTTCTGACTCATCCTGTAAGTGGTTATAATTACTTTCATCAGCATGAGCTTTAGCATTTGTCTGTTACATCCTGACTTGTTAAGCAAGATTCTGTTCTCTCCTTTTTGTGATGCTGTGTGGACTCCAACAGCCAGGACTAGATGGGCTGTGACCCAGAGGCTAAGTGGGCCCCACCCTGAAGGAGCCAGGGTTTCACACTGCGATTCTTTTACTAAGGGAGGCCAGAGTGTTGCTTTAATATGTTCTGAAGAGAAACATAGGGGTTTTTCTAATTTTAAAAATATATAAATAGTGACTGTTTTTCACAAGTAGTGTTTCTTGTACAAAAATATTTACACAATAACTATTTCTTGTAATCTTGAGAGAGTAGCTATTTTTTGGAAAATAGTTTTTGTAAAATAATTCAAGACTGCCGCATGGCCAGGTCTCCCAAGCCGGATTTCAGACTGGAGTACATGCTTTTGCCCACGTTACTTAAAAAAATTTTAAATAAATAATTTTTTTAAATTAAAAATGAAGGAAAGAAACAAAGAGGGAATGCTTTAATTTCATTACATTGAAACAAAGGAATATTCTCTATCAAAATGATAGAGACTATCAACGTGACATTTTTGAGTGGAAACAAGAACACAAACTAGTATGTATTATAATTACAATCTTATAAATGTCTATTTCATTTGGGCAGAACTTGAATGTGAAACGGTAAGCAGAAACTTCTCTCTTGGGTTATTTTGTCTTAGAGTGTTTTTTAATATTATTGATATTTTTCAACTGAAGGAATATTTTCCTTCAGTCCAAATTTTCTAAAAAGCTGGCCTTATTTTACAATGTGTAAACCCTCAACAGCTAGAGCAGCATTGGGCTGGATAATCCTTTACTGTGGGGGTCTGTCCTGGGCGCTGCAGCATCCCTGGGCTCTATCCTCAGGATGTCTGTGGTACCCTCCCTCCTTGCTCCCCAGCTATGACAGCCCAAAATGTCTCCGGATATTGCCGAGTGTCCCTTGAGGGACAAAATCGTCCCTGTTTCAAAAGTACTAAGCTAGAGGAACCACAGTTGGAGGCAATTCTTTGGAACATTCCAGGTAAATCTACACTTACTACAATAATTGCTCTAAGGACTTTTTTTTTTGTTAAACAGGTGATTTCAGGGGCAGCTGAGGCACACATGTTTCTTGGATGGATTATGCAGATAACTGCCCCAACGCTCTGTCTTGCTGACACCAAGGTTCTGAATGGAGCCCAGAGAAGACCGCACTCGAGAGGCAAGCTCTTGGTGTGATAACAGAGCCAGTGAGAGGCACATCTGTGTTCCCAGCAAATACACTGACAGACAGCAATTATTTTGAGTCACACAGGGTTTTGAAAGTTGGCGCTGTATTTGATTCACCTGCAATGTGAATGAGAAATTTAATGTGGAGGCAAAGATTTAAATTAGAAAAGTTTTCTTGGTGGAATTTTTGGGGTGGGGGAAAAAAGGAGAGAGAATCTCTTTCTCTTTGATTCTTTATGGAATAATTTAAGCTAAAGTCAAAACTGCCATCACATTAGGGACAAAGCTGTCATCCTGACTGAGCAGTGAGAATAGAAATTACCCTCCAAGCAAGGAGCTCCTGCTGGGGATGAGAGGACCCGCCAATTGAAGATGTGATGATGACAGCCTTCTCTTCTGAGGAGCCCGCTGGTTCTTTCCACCGGCGAGCTTGCCTCTTTGTTGATGAGAGTCCTGCCGGGCTCTATGGCAATCCAGTTGGTAATGTGTTTATTAATTTTACCTCCTTAAAGACACGTGTTAAGAAAAGCCATTCAGACATGCAGGAAAGATAAGAGATGTGTAGATGGTTTCTGGTCTTTTCTAGGTTCCTGTGGGACTCTGGCTGTTCAGTGAGTGGTGGACTCCCCACACACCCACCTCGTGTCTCACCCCCATCTTTTAGCCCAGTCATGGCTGGAGTACCACCCCTCGGTGCACCCCACACCAAGTAGCTCTCACTGTCTTCCTGGGACTGCTAACACCTGGGGGTGGCCCTTGCACGGATACTGCCTGGAAGTGTGAAAAAATAAGGAGTTGACACCCCATGGGCCAACCCCTGCCCAGGGAGGGAGAAGGCGTCAGTGGATGTCGGCTCTCTCCTGTCCCTCAGGCAGGCAGACAACTCTGAAGTTGTACGCTTGGCTCCCTGGAGGTTCTGGTGGGATCAAGCTCTAGTCGCTTCCAGAAGTCACAAACTTGGTTCACAGATCCTTGTACTGGCTTGCCCTCAGTCTCTGTCCTGCGCTTGCTCACGGAGATCATTTCCCAAACAAACAACCTGCATGCGATTCCTCACCTAAAGCCCCACTTTCAGGAAGAACCCAGGCTGAGACACAGTGGAAAGTTTATTTTGAGAGATAAAGTTCTCCCAGGGCATTTCAGTTGCCATCAGCAATAACCTGTCACGTCAGATTCTCAATTCAGGTGAGGGGTATCTCACTACTTGAAATAGATCAGAGTGTTCCTCTGGAAACATTTTTAGAGCAAATGAAATATTGCCTTTAAGAAGAGCTCTGAAGTTTGAAGCTCAAGACAACTGAAATGCCAGGGGTCACCAGAAAATGATAGGAGCAGTCTTCTCTGTCTCAAACACATGTCTTATTTAATAATATTTAGTCTGTCAGCAATTACTTATTCCTTTAGCATGAGAACAAGATGTTCCTAGGGAGAAGAGAGGACTCTGGCCTTGTGGATACAGAGGTGCAGCCGTGGACTGGCCACGAGAAGGTGGTGGAATTGGGCATGCTGGATGAACCGTGAAGGATAAAAGGCTGGCCAGACCAGGTCAGGAATGAAGAATGACACAAGCCAGGCAAAACTTAAGACCAGGTTCAGCTCTCTAAATGAAAGACGCAGTGGATTTTTTTGGGCCCTTCCCCAGCATCCATCCTACACCCTCTGTGCTACTTGGCAGCTGTGTGATTTGGGTGGATGGCTTGCCACTCCAAGTTCCAGGAGTGGGAGCTAACTGGCCGAAGGCAAGCACTGTAATCCTCTCCCTCCTCACCACAGTGATTGGGTGCAAGGATTGACTGGCCATTTCTCCCTTGGCCGCTGCTGACTGGTAAAGAGTTGGTTCGACCATAATGAAGCCTAGGAATTCTGTTTGTGAGTTAAGGAGAAGCCCTTTCCTTGGGTAGCTGGGATGCAGAGGTGAGGCTTGGCGTTACAACTGTCCTCTTCCTACCACAAGGATGCAATCTCCACAGTTTTGTGAACCAATGGTGCATTGATCCAAAAATTTTCTGTACATGCTCGTAAATGTCAATTATCAGCCCAAGAATGGGGCTATCCACAGTGAGAGAAAGAGTCAGAAGACTAGCAGAGTGAGCTGGAGCCTAATCAAACCAGGCCTGAAGCATGCCTGAGGTCAAAATTCTTAGTCACCTGACCCAGTAAAGTCCCTTGGGTGTTCAAGGTGGTTGGAAATG